TTTTACCTTGGCTCGCCTAAGACAGGAAATAAATGCACAATAGCGGGGTATGTGGTTGTGTCTGCATGTTTGGGTTTGTTGTCTGATTTTCGAGGGCTTATTGATTTACATCTCTGTGTAGGAAATATGAGAAGAATCGGCGTTGCAACTGAAGAAGTCTTCTGTCAATATCTTACTTCTCACCCTGAAAAGCATGAGCTGTAAATGAAAGGCCAATGACAGCACGAGGCTGCATACCTGAACTAGAGAGACAGCAGTGTCAATGAGATAATGAAACTGTGGAGAGTCTTATTATAGCAATGATTAAACAGTCAATAGGAGTCATCAGTGAACGACATTATTTAACATTTACATAATAACTGCATCCAAAGCAGAATGTTAATTGTTGCATTTGCCGCTAAGAAGGAGCAGTACAGCATTAGATGTATTTAACCAATACCAGACTTTACACAGACACGTCTTTTTGTGCAGTTTCACACCTAATTGTAACACAATATCTTAATCGCATTTCATTGTACTTATATGCAGTATCTATCCATCCATCCATACACCACTTAATCCTCACTAGGGTCGCAGGGGGGCTGGAGCCTATCCCAGCTGACTTAGGCCGAAGGCAGGGAACATCCTGGACATGTCGCCAGTTTATTGCAGTTCAACACTTAGAGACAGAAAATCAAGCACACTCACATTCACACCTACTGACAATTTAGAATCACCAATTAACCTCAACATGTTTTTGGACTGCCGGTTCACGTCCCGATGGGGACACCGGAATCTTTCTGCGTGGAGATTGCATGTTCTCTCCGTGCAGCGTGGGTTCTCTCCAGGTTCTCCGGCTTCCTCCCACACAGTCCAAAAACATGTTGAGATTAATTGGTGACTCTAAATTGTCCGTAGGTGTGAATGTGAGTGTGCTTGGTTGTCTGTCTCTAAGTGTGGCCCTGTGGTAGACTGGTGACCTGTCCAGGTGTCCCCTGCCTTCGGCCTAAGTCAGCTGGGATAGGCTCCAGCCCCCCAGTGCTAACCAACTATATGCAGTATCTTTGCATATAAAGTCCAATTAAGTATAAACGCAGACTAACTCCTCCAAACACAGAATTAAATGTAGAAGAGCGGGAATAACTGAAAGAAGAGCAACTATTCTAATACTCAGGAAAACATTTAAGTCTCTCTGAAGTTTAGCAGAAATGAGTGCCATACAACTGTCCCAGCTTTTTGTTTGTGAGGAGTTTTATTAAATATCATCTGCACTCAATATCTTTAAATTTTAAATTTGTTGTCGGGTAAAGGAAGCCATTTAAAGATTTCAACCTGAGCTTCAGTGGCCTTGTTTGTGATAGGCCCTTTTTTAGTATTTATTGATTCCGTTGATAAAAGATGAAATGAGAAACTGATTGATTGTTAACATATGAAAATCTTCATCAGTACTGTACATAGTTCCTATGTAAGCTTACCTACAACACTAATGCTGCAAAGTGCTGCTTACAAATGAACACCACAGGTATTTACCACTGGGTATGGGACATTTCTGTCTGAGTACTTTTGTTTTTGATACTTTATTCAAGGCAAAATTATGAATTCGGAGTCTCACTTGCAAGCCAGTCGAGCATGTTTACTTCATAGTGCTGCTTTTTACTCAAGCAAATTATGTGACCATATACCTGGGACACATCAACGGCTCTCTGGCAAACACTTCAACAGGTAGCAGGTGGGGAGCTTGGCAAAGCGCCCGGTAGGTGCCGACTGAGCAGAACACCACAGATATGGTGGAGAGACAGGCGTACAGATAGTGACATGAGCTGGCGCGACCCTGGTGTTTGAAGACGGAGGCTCCCTGGCAGTTTCCTCTTTCTTTCTGAAAGCTGTCTAATCATATCAGAGACTTCCCTGGTCCTTCTCCATCTGTCTCCTGCCCTCAGACTGGATGTTTTTATAAATCACCATGATGGCATGGCTCTGTTTGGTCCATTAAGCTATGATACTGCATGCAGTGGTGGTTCTGATCACACCTTGCTGCATGCCAGCCTAAATAAGGCGCTGGTGTGGTCATTCATGTATTTGTCTTTAATAATCACCTGACTGAGGGTCTAGTGAAGGATCGCACCTCAACAGAACATTGGATGAAGCAGTTTTTCTTTTCAGAGTCCTCCTCACCACAAGCTGTCCTCCTCTGGCCGCCTAAAGATGAGGCTGTATTGAACAGACACTCAGCTCTTTATGGAGCACTGTGGAAGAATGGCGTCAAGGTCATTTGAGGGTAACTGAAAAAAATAACACCTCGTCTAATGAGGAGCCAGCTGAGAATCCGAGCAAACTGCTGCTGTTATTCAAATGCACATGCGACTTCTGCACAGGCAGTTGACGTTTTAATGAGCGCTGCGCTATGTGGGCTGTGTGGAAATGTATCGATATCTGATCGATAATCTGCTGCACTCAGAATATTGTGGTCATTGCATTTACAGATCACAATCGTTCACAATCGTACGCTCGAGCAACAGTCACAGTCAGTAAGATTTCTCAGTGCAATGCGATGTGATGTGATGCGCTCTCCTGGAATTACTGCACGTGTTTGCATCTCAGAATAACAATAACAACATCCTCGGAAAACAGCATCATCCTGCAGGACAGGAGACACAACTTAACATCCTGGATCATCACACACTGAGTGCTCTTAGAGGTTAAACGTGCAATTAAAGAAAGGAAAAAAAGAAAAACAAGTGAGTATAGAACATTTCAGGAAGCTCCTACAATTAACAGCCTGTAGGTGAACCCTCCTGTCACCAAAGAGTTCCTAAAATACGATACACTCCATCTTTGAGTTTCCATTAGCGCAGAGAATTTCGAACCAGTTGTTGGAGCTTGTGTGCAGCCTGATCTGTGCCATCGTGTCCAAGAGACGTTCCACGCATTAGAGCTTTAAAGTGCACTTTACCTGATAACTCAGGATGCTCTCGGGGTCGTTGACGGGCACGCTCATGGCCTCTGGGTTAACCTGCTCAGCGTTCACGGAGAGTAAAGGTGAGACTTTCCTCTGTCAGCCTCTCGGCGCTGTCTCAGGGCGTTTGGAAGATCACGAGTTGGCGACAGTAGCTTCTTCCGTTTCTGCAGACATGTTGAGTGTTGACATCTCATCCAGATGAGGAAAACGGTAAAAATGATTATTTTGTTTCCCCCCCTCCCCGTGTTATGATGATTTCCCAGCCGCGCTTCCAGCTCCCCTCCTTCCTGTCCGGGCGGTGGGAGCAGGATGCAGAGAGCATCACTGCAGCTTCAGCCAATCACAGCGCAGAGGCGCACAACGGGCTGCGACGCACTGCTGCTAACCAGCACAATAGAGCCGAGGCTGTTCTAAGCCTATAGAGCTTCTTCACGCTATGCAATGTCCACTTTGACAGCTTCTCCCCTCTCAGCAGCCATATTTCCTGTTCTAATATCACTGTGCACTGAATGGTTCAATTGTTCTCTCTTCACTTTTACCGAGCTCAAGAGAAACACCCTGTATAAAGCTGAAAATGTATGTGGACAAATCTCACAAAACACAGAGAACTTTATGTTTTTGAACTTTTTTTGTTTTTGTTGTTCAACTGGTGGAACAAGTCCTTATAATCTTGAAATACTGTAACAATAACGTGCAAAAATACACCAGTACAAATGAAAGGCATCTCACATGTTACTGTTGCACCAGTACAAAAGTGCAATTGTTGTAATCAGAGGTATTCATTGTGCCGAATGTCCCAATCGTAGGTTTATATAAATATATAGGCCTACGCATTTGCCCATACACTTATGTAGTATTAAGATATAGTCGCACTGGGGGTGGAATAGATTTGAATTATAGGCCTTTTGTTGGGTCTTTCTATGTATAATAATGCAGTCCATCTGAGTCCAGGTGATGCTATGTATTGAATGAAAATCTGTAAAGTAACTACAGCAGTCAAATCCCAACAGAAGTATATAAAGTACAACATTTGTCTTTGAAATGCAGTGGAGTAGTGCATATATGAAGTGGCACAAAATGAAAAAAATCAAGCAAAACCACCTCCAAATTGTGCTTAACTACTGTAATAGCCCCAGTAAAACTTTGACAGGAGAGAACAAGAACAGCCACATTTTGGATCTGATTGATCCAGTTGCATGAAATGGAACACACTAGAAAGCCTCGGATGCCACCTTGTGGGATAGTAGAACATTGTTCCAACCGGGATACACTGTATGTTAGTTATAATCCAAGTGCACAGTGTGACGACAGTGCAGGTTTAAGCGTTTAAGAGGGAGGACAGGTTTAACCATCCAACTGCAGGTGATTGCATTTATTGTGAAGGCAGGCAGAAGATACTCAACAATAAATCACGTGTTTTCCTCCCCACTGGCCTGAGGATGAACATGTGAAACATGTGAAACCTGCCATGGTGTCGAACACTTGATCGGATTTAGTCGAGCAAGTTGACCCCCTTCCCTCTTATTGTTTACTCAGCAGCGAGTTCAAATTGCGCCTCCTCACATTAATGTCGCTGTGTCTGCATTAGTTTCTGCGGTGCATGTCGCCTACACGTGTAAGATACGCTGCAACTGATAGTCCAGTAAGTGATCCACTTTCTTCAACACATGACTAAAGGCGCTACTTTTTTTTTCTCTCCCCTCCTCGACCCGCACGGCATCCTGTTTCTCCTGGGTACGGTTGTTATGGCAACTGTAAACATTTTGCGGGAGCATGCACGGTTGTCATGGGAACTGTCTGCGGGAGCATGAAGGCAGTCGAACGGAGCGAGTCTGCGGGCAGAGCGGTCGGGTCAGTGGCGAAGGGGGCGAAATTAGGTTTGTATAATAATTTTCACTTTTAAATCGCCCCTGTTTTTTTTGGGTTTTTTTGGACACACATTACTGGAATAGCTCTTTTGCGCATGTCTGATCGCTGTCACAGTTGACATAGAGAGGGTTGGCTCAGAAATGCTTGGTAGTTATTTTTGTGCATGTGCTATCAGTGTGTGCGCTTTTTGCGCATGGGTATGTCGGTCCAGTTTAAGATGCCTGCTTGACCCAATTTACATCCTCCTCCAGTAGCTGCACACACCAAAGTAGGTGCAGCATGTCATAGTATTTATAGTAAAGCCTTCTTGATTTTTTTTTCAGCGGCTGGGAAAAACACTGAGTTACTACATGCCGTTTTGGGCTACAGGTGAAACTGTGAAAAGGTAAATTTGGAAATAGGAAACAAATACTTGAATCTACCCGCCTATATTATTTTATGACTACACTCAAGAGACAATATTGGGGCTCAACTATTTTAAAAAATGATCACTGTTTTTGTATTATGTCCAACCAACAAGCTAAATTAAGTTAATAGAATTAACTTTTCCTCTACAATAACAGGTTTTTTGTTGTTGTTTTTTTTGAATTGCCAGTGAGTTAAGATCGGGCACTCAAAATCCTGTAGTCAAGGTGAAGACAAATTAAGTTCTCAAGCCAGTTTCATTGAGATTTGGGTTTATATTACACATAATGTTAAGCTGATGCAAATACCAACAATATTATGTCAACCCAACTCATCAAATGCTTAAATAGTTTATCTAAATTCATAATTTAGATTTTATTTTTAAATCTTGTAACCATGCATGCAGATTGGTGCAATTGGTGTGTATTACTTTTTAGAGTGTAGTAAATCTGTGTAAGTATATACCCTGTAATATGATGTGAAAACAATGCAGTTTAACATATTTCTGCTTTCTCCTCAACAATTTGCACTGATCAGCTGATGAGAGAACCGCACATAAGTAACATCATCTGCAAATGAGCAGTAAGTTAAAAGACATTTACATATACAAAACATATGTGTTCACACACACTTGTTACTTTATATTCAAATCTGAATGAGCAATTTGTCCCAGTGTTACAATCCACGGTTGCTCCAGCGGAGGGGAGGTTACGTCGCAGTGTGCCAAGTCTGCCAGCAATCAAGCCAGACAGGCTGAAAACAGCTAAAGCACTGGTGGAGAAGGCACTAAAGGTGATTATATGTTGAAACAGATTTCACTTTGATACCAATGCATGTTTAGCCACTGTCCTTTTGTGTGATATGTGTGTTGTTGTTTTTTTTCTGTCTCTCTTCCATGTATTCTCAGTTGAGGAAAGTGTTTTCAGTGCAGGGACCGTATCCTGTGATTCGTGCTGCCTTATGGGCCAGAGGATGGGTGGAACGTCGTTTTCCCCATCCGGTCCAGAGAACACCTCATTGTCATGGCGATGAGGAGGATGATGGGGATGATGGGGATGACAGTGCTGATCTTACTAGTAAGACAAATGGTTTAAAAGAGAAAAATTACAATGTCCATGCCGGGAGGATCCCTCAAGTCAAGTCTGGGATCTCTCTCTGCCTGGACTGTGTATCTCACAGCTGTCTACATTTTATATCCATCATTGTCCAGTGCACATCACTGTATGCTTTATAATCTGATTTGTTGGCCATCATTAAGCCGAAGGAGATAGCAGGATTGATATATTTTTATGTACAAAGCAATGCTGGCTAAATTCCCTTCTTAATGTGTAATTTTCTATCAGTTACCAACAGCTGTTGTAATTCCCACTCATCTGACCGGCTGCTCTACAGGGTGCCCAGGATTTTCTTTGAACTCAATCGAACAGGCTTCTTCCATTTTGTACCCAGGTCCATAAATAACTTTCAGAACACACTACAGCTTAATGATTTTGTCTCCCTGTGAGAGTGGCTCTGATCAAAAGATGTGTAACTGAAGAGTGCGATTGCTTCTCCTAAGCTGGATTTTGTCCTCTGTATCTTAATCCCTTGGTTGTTTTAATGTGCTTTACTTCTGTCCCCTGTCAGTTGTTGTCATGCTTGATTTGGTAATCTTTTCTAACTTAATAATGGCGTGCCTTCCTAAGCAGGTCTCTCTCAAAAAAAAAAAGTTTAATCTCAAGGGACTTCCTGGTAAATTGAAGTCGACATAAAGCCTGCACACAGAAGAAGCAGCAAAAGATAAGGCTTTTTCCAAGAACAAACATCATAAAGTTTCAGTGTAAAATAATTTTTTCAGTCATCCGTATTTTGTTGTGTCTAAATTTTCATCTGACAGATCAGTGACGTCCTGCTGTATCTGTAAAAGCTACAAGTACAGGAGGAGTTTATCTATATGTAACTGGAGCACTAGATACATGGATACACCTGCACATGATAAACGATACACTGTGTACCATATTACGGACCCCTACCCTTAATACACGCCCCTTTAAGCTTGCGCACACACACCACATAGACACACACACCTCTTATCTTTTTACAGACAGAGCGGGTGAAGGCGAGAAAGAGGAGAACCTCAATGACATGTATGACCTCATGGTAAGATAACGTTTAAGTGAACCAACTAGCCTGACAATGATGTCTAGCACAGCGTGACGGCAAATGCATTATCTCCTTGTGTCTTCTTATTCTTAACTTATTCTAGTCTCGCATGGTTCGAAATGAAACAACATATTTCTACTGGACGACTCGGCGGGATTACGTAGACTGTCGCTCATTACGGAATGACCAAATGACCAACCACTATGCAAATGCTGCAACATTCACCACCAAGGTCTCTGGGGAGTTACTAATGATTGACTGGCAGAAATGCAAGTTGCTCAACTGAAGCCATAGGTCAACTCGTTCTCCCCGTCTCCTCTTACATGTAATTGTGTTTCTTTCAGGTGGGGCTTTGTGTTAATCTGCGTAACCTCCAGTGGTTTGATACAGCGGATCCTGACACCTTTTTCCCAAGATGCTACAGGCTTGGGGCAGAGGATGAAAAGCATGCATTCATAGGTCTGCTGTATGACCTGGTATCATCCATCCATCCATTATCTTTACACCACTTAATCCTCACTAAGGTCGCAGGGGGTGGGGGGTGGGGGGGCTGGAGCCTATCCCAGGTGAATTAGGGAGAAGGCAAGGGACACCCTGGACAGGTCACCAGTCTATCACAGGGCTACACTTAGAGACAGACAACAAGGGGGTGAAGGGGAACTTTTAATATAATATTGAATAAGTGTTAAGGTGTGAGTGAAACATGTAAAAATCATGTTTGGGGGAGAATGAATGTAATGACAAGTGTAAATGGAGCTTTTAAAGCAGAAAATGCCTTTTCTCTCTCTCTTGTACTTTTATCCTGTCTTTTCTTTATCCATACAAATGAAGAGGATTTCAGAAGGACAGCATGCACCAGCCTGCTGCAGTATGTGGTTGAGACAAGTCGATGGAGAAGAGACAAATCAGAGAGTGAAGAACAAAATGCCAAGAACAGTGTCTCTGAAAGTAAAAAGTCATTTATCAAAAAAAAAAAAAAGGAAAAAAAGCATGATGTGTTGAATGAAGTGGAGGACGAGGAAAAAATAACTCTGCTATATCATCCTTGCTTCTCCCTGCAGAATTGAATTTGGAACATCGATTTGTTGGTCCAGAAATGATTGACACGGCTCTTCACGTGTGTCAAGACTTCCTCATTGCTTTAAAGCACGGTGACATTGACGTGACTGCAGAAACACCTCCCTCAGTAGAGGAACAGCAGTGGGCAGAGTTTCTGCAAGACTACTACATGGTTGTGCAGTAAGTATGTTTTCTGGAAGCTTCTAGGGTTTGATAAAATTATCCTCCTTAGATCACCCTAATTTTATCTGCAGGACTTACAGTTCAGGTCAGCTTATTAAATCAATCTAGGTTATTTCAGACAGTACACTTAGATAGTGGTTAGATTTAACCATTTATTTCAGCATGACATACATTTGTGTCTGGTGGTGACTCTGATCGAGTGACGCTCTGGAACAATCTGACCAAGCATCACACAGACAGTTCCATAGATCATGGATTCACAGGCCTTCACATTCACAACATTTAAAAGGAATACAGTATGAGCACGGAAACAAGGAGATCAATTTAAATGGTCCTTATTATACAAATCCAGTTTTTGGCTCCTTATCATTTTCCTCTCTGCCAGTGACTGAACAGAGTAGATGCAGAGGTTTATTTCAGCCCTCTTTGTAAAATTGTAAGAGTTATAATATTGAAGCTTTAAAAAGAGAGGAGGTTGGGGAGGAGGGTGAGATTTGCAGATCTGTAGATGCTGGTATAGCAGCGATGTGGTGAGCATGGAGCAGGCAGAATGAATGAAAGCTGCCTCAGTTACAGAGCACGCTGAGAAGGTGAACTGCACTCTAGTAAACACTTGTACAGAAAAGGGCCTTGTGACTCCATAACTTTGTGCCCATCACACACAAAAGTTCATTTCTGACAGGACACTGTAAGATTTAACCATTTATTTTAGAATGACATGGAGGTGACTCTGCTTGAGTGATGCTCTGGAATGATCTGAGCAAGCATGACACAGATAGTCCATGAAATCGCAAACCCCCAAACCTGTGTTGCCAAAGGGAGAAGATGAGCAGAGTCACCTTGAAATGAAATGGACTTTAATGAAATTGGCGTTGTTTGTAGCGACAAGTGTGTTGCATTTCCTTTGAATTCGTGCAGGCATGCACAGCCTTCACATCTGGATGCAGGGGATCAGTGGCATGCTGAATGTGCACAGATGAACATTTGGCAAGGCCCTGTAATAGTGACTTGATACAAAGGAAGCATACTATGTGAGATATGAGACTATGAATGGCGTAGGGCATGATGCATTATCTTTGGATTTGTGCAAGCATGCATGACCTCCATTGACTGACATGAAACAGTGCACAAATTTTATGTAGTTATCACAGATTACATGTAATATGTGCTATTCATGGCTTTTAAGCAATATTTGATGGCATTCAGGCACAGGAATGTTCATACGCTACAGAAGTTGAGCAGAAGGAATAGGCTGTGTAGCTTAGGTGAGAGATCACAGCGTTAGAATAGGATGTAGAGGTGGACAAACCAAGGCTGGGACAAGCCCTTCTCAGAGTTTGTGTTGAACAGAGGCAAATGTTGGCAAGGCAGACTGCACGGAGAAATGTTGGAGTACAGATGTGACTGAAGAACACTCTTAATAATATTGACTGATGCTTCATTATCACAAAACATGATGATGTTTCCTCTGTCATTTATCTTCCTGTAGGAAGGGGAATAGGTTATAACAGAGTGGTAAGCTAGAAGCTAGCAGGCAAGGATAGAAGTTCCTTGGCCATATATCTGCAAAACATTACTGATTAAAGAAGGCCCCAAAAACCTGCCAAGACAGCAGCGTCAGATAAGAATTATGAGGTGACCAGTGATTCTACTTCAGAAGGTTGTGCTGGAGCCTGTCTAAGTTGACTTTGGGCGAAGGCAAGGTCACTAGTCCATCATAGGGTCAGCAGAGACAGGCAACAAGGTGCACTCACAATCACACCTACGGACCATTTAGAATAACCAATTAACCTAATCACGTCTTTGGACTGTGGGAAGAACCTGAAGCTCCTGGTAAAACTCATGCAGGCACAGGGAGAAAATGCAAACTCCACACAGAAAGGCCTAAGGATCTTTGAGCTGTGAGACGACAGTGTTAGTCATACACTACTGTCTCACCTGTACCTGCTATTCTATTTTGCACAAGGTGTCGTTGTGTAGGGGAAGAAATATGGCATAGAGCAGGACTCCCAAAGAAGAGCTGGCTCTTTTGGCTCCCAAGCGGCTCTTACTGTATTATCATCTGTAGCCTCATATTTTAGCCTAACTTGGCAAATATGAATGCTTTGTGTGTTGATAAACCCTTTTGAATTTAGTGTTTTTTAGAAGCCTTATAATGGCTTAATTTTGTGCATTTTTATGTTACAAAAGCAGGCATTCTTACTTTTGTTTAATATTTTAATCAAACTTTTAATGTTAATTTAACATGAAAACTAATGAACAAAACACTTCAAACAAACCAAAAGAACAGAACCAGAACAAAACTGAGTTCAAACACCAAACAGTATGTCTTTAGTGCAGGTTTGCATTCAAAAAAAATTTAATGCCTCAGCTTGGCTGGGCTGATGTGATTTCTCCTCTCAGTTATTATCTGCCCTGTTTTTGAGAAGACTTTCTCAGAGGGAACAGATGTTGCCACAATACACAGTCTCCCCTCCATCAGCTTCACCAGGTGGGGGAAGACTGAGGCCTTGGTCTGCCACCAGCTCAGTGGGTCTTCTGCTCTTTGGATGAGGGCCTCTTCAAGATAGCATCGCATCTCCATTATAACGTCAGCCCTGGCACTAAATCCTCACACATGATTGGCCACAAGGCCACCATGCTATCAATCAAAACAAAGTTCTGCCATGAGCTGAGCTGAGCCACTGAGCAGCGAGGAAAAAAAGTCGGGAGCCGGCTCGCACTCGATGGAAGGTGATTCTTCTGATTCACCGTAGAGCCGATGCTTTACATCTGTGATTTACTTTTTTTTCCTCCATGATGTAAGATTTGCAGTTCTAATATTAAAATATTTGTTTGCAGCAAAGGTGCATTGATCAGGGGCAGCAGTGTGTTTGTGGAGCACTGCCAGGCCATGTTAAACAGACTGAAGGAGGTTTGCCCTCAGCTGGACACTGATGGACTAAATAACATCTGGATCATCAAACCAGGTGCCAAGTCAAGAGGAAGAGGTGAGGCTCTGTTCTGTAATAGCATTAACATAATAATAGTGTGGTAATCTTATATGTTCGTAATTTATATTCTCTGTATTATATGGGGGCGTTATTGTAGCAAAACTATTTGTCCATGCGTATGGAGAGTTGTCTGTCTGTATCTCAGTCCGTTCGTCTGACGTGAGATTTGTCAATGCGTAAAAGAAGTTGTCAATGCGAACCGGAATTTGTCTGTCTGTAACTACGTATTCAAATGTGTAAAAAATCTGCTCATCTGTCTTAAAATGTGTACATGTAGTAAGAGTTGCCAATATGTACAAAGAGTTGTCAATGCGTACAAAGGTGTTACAAGTTGAAAAATGTACGTATTCGAATACAAATCCTGCTAATACAGACAAATCACCAGTTAATAATCAAGCAGCTTCACCATTGGCTGTTTTTTTACACATGACTTTTGCTACACTTCTGCCGTGAGAGAATCTGAAACTTAAGAGTATGTGAAAATCAGGGTTTTTGTGTCCTGAGCTCAGGCTCACAGGATTGTCCATTGTAGCTGCTACTGCTCTGCTGCGCTCTGCCACAGTAGTTATCAGGCAGCGCTGTGCATCAGAGTGTTTGAGCGAACGCCACACTACGAAAGAATCCCGACAGGTATATGTAAACAAGCAAACTCTTTAATGCTGGTGCTACTTCATGAATGTTTTTGCTCAGCGACCCATAAACTCAGCAGATGTAACTCGTTCACTTATACCTGTAATATTATATTTTTAGATGGCTCAACAATTGCCTCACTAATTACAAAAACTGAAAAAAACACTAACATGAACATGTGCAGTCGGGATTCCATCGTATTCTGCACCCTGCCTCACAATGTCATGTACGCCCAAAGACTGATGCACAGCGCTACCTGATAGCTACTGAGGTACAGAGCAGCAGACCGGTAGCAGCCACAATGGACGATCCTGTAAGCCTGAGCTCAGGACACAAAAACCCTGATTTTCAGATACTCTTAAGTTTCAGATTCACTCACAGCAGAAGTGTGTTTGTTGCAAATGCAATAAACCCAAAACACAGGTGCTTTGTTAATAAGGCCATCCTTCTATTTTAGACACTGAAATTTTATCTGTCAAAATTGCACTCATGATGTTTTTTTGGCAATTCTGGTGTCACCTGTTTTTATTTTTTTCCATGTGACTCCTCCAACCTCCCCCACTAGGCATCATGTGTATGAATCGCCTGGATGAGATTCTGGCCCTCGTGGACACTGACAGAGCGCTGATGAAGGACAGTAAATGGGTTGTTCAGAAATACTTGGAACGTCCACTGTTGGTCCACGGAACCAAGTTTGACCTCCGCCAGTGGTTCCTTGTTACTGACTGGAACCCTCTGACTGTGTGGTTCTACAAAGAGTGCTACCTGCGGTTTTCCACTCAACCCTACTCAACAAAAACTCTGGACAGGTCAGACAGAGGGTCAGACAAAAGAGAAAAATAAAGACTACATAAATACATATACTTGTGCTTTACCTTTACAGTATCTCATATCTAGAGTTATTTGTGGAGGGATTGATTTGAGAATGCATGTA